TTCACCATGTTGACCAGGATGGTCTCGATCTCTTGACCTCGTGATCCACCCGCCTCAGCCTCCCAAAGTGCTGGGATTACAGGCTTGAGCCACCGCGCCCGGCTATCAAACATTTTTTAATAATAGTGGATGCCTGAGGTTTTCCTGATTGTTACTTTTTTTTGTTGTTGTTGAGACAGAGAAAAAACAAAGATTTTATTTATTTATTTATTTGAGATGGAGTTTCGCTCTGTCGCCCAAGCTGACGGGTTGCCAGTGCTGGAGTGCAGTCGCGTGATCTCAGCTCACTGCAACCTATGCCTCTTGGGTTCAAGTGATTTTCCTGCCTTAGCCTCCCAAGTAGCTGGGATTACAGGCACCCACCACCATACCCAGCTAAGTTTTGTATTTTTAGTAGAGACGGGGTTTCACCATGTTGGCCAGGCTGGTCTCGACCCGACCTGAAGTAATCCGCTTGCCTCCACCTCCCAAAGTGTTGGAGTTACAGGCATGAGCCACTGCACCCAGTTGTTGTTACCTTCTTAATTGAACCAATTTATACTTCTACCAGCTTGTATGGAAATGTCCGTATTTACTTTGGAAATTCCCGATAACATGAGAAACTTCCATTCCTCCAACTTTATTGAAGTATAATTTAAGTACCATAAAATTAACCCATTTTAATTGTACAATTTGATGAATTTTGACCATTGTGTATAGTTATTTAACTGCCACCGCAGAGGAGATAGAACTTGTATGAGAAGTCTTTTTAAAGGAATTCTATAGTTTCCTTTTTAGTAGTTGTTACAATTCTGTAATTAGTGTATCAATTGTCAGTGACTATAAAGGATTTTTGAAGTTTGGAAAACAAATATCTTAAATAATTTTGATTTTCACCATTGTTCTCACTATTTTGTTTTCTTTATTACTATTATTTTTTACTTAGAGACAGAATCTGGTTATATCACCCAAGCTGGAGTGTGGTGGTGCAGTCATAGCTCACTGCATCCTCTAACTCCTGGCCTCAAGGGATCCTCCCACCTCAGCCTCCTGAGCAGCTGGGACTATAGGTACATGCCATCACTCCGAGCTAGTTTTTTCCTTTTTTTTTTTTTTGGAGACAGTGTCTCACTTTGTCACCCAGGCTGAAGTGCAGTGGCATGATCATGGCTCACTGCAGCCTCGACCTGCTGTGCTTAAGTTATCCTCCCACTTCAGCCTCCCGAATAGCTGGGACTACAGGTGTGCACCACCACTTCTGGCTAATTAAGAAAATTTTTTTGTAGAGACTAGCTCTACGTTGCCCAGGCTGGTCTCAAACTCCTGAGCTCAAGTGATCTTCCTGCCTTGACCTCCCAAAGTGCTAAGATTTCAAGCTTGAGCCACCATGCTTGGCCTAGTTTTCTTATCAGAAAAGTCAAAGAAAAGAATGGAAAACTTGGATTATGGCTCTTGTCCAAGTGATCACAAGTCCTTAACTAGATGTTTCCATTGGTTTATCATGTAGAAATTGGAATGTGTAAATGAAAGTGCTATTATGCAAATTTAGGTTTAACTCTTTTATTTTAAAATAATTGCATTTTATAGAAAAGTTCAAAAATAATGGGAATAATCCCTATCTGCCCTTCCCCGAGATTCCTCAGATGTTACCATTTTATTATATTCTCTTTTTTTATAAAGCAAACACAATAAAATGGCTATATGTGTATTTTATTCTGAGACATTTGTGCATAGTTGCAGACATAATATTCTTTTATATCTTAGTAATTCAGTTGTAGTGTTTTTTTTTTTTTTTTTTTTAGATGGAGTCTTGTTTTGTCATCCAGGCTGGAGTACAATGGCGCAATTCTGGTTGACTGCAACCTCTGCCTCCCGGGTTCAAGGGATTCTTCTGCCTCAGCCTCCCAAGTAACTGGAACTATGGGCGCGCACCACTATGCCTGGCTAATTTTTGTATTTTTAGTAGAGACGGGGCTTCACTATATTGGCCAGGCTGATGTTGAACTCCTGACCTCGTGATCCACCCACCTCGGTCTCCCAAAGTGCTGGAATTACAGGAGTGAGCCACTGTGCCCGACCCAGTGGTAGTTCTTAACTACAACTTTGTCTTAAAACTTCGTCTTAAACACAAAGACAATGTCTTAAATAATTTGTATAGTTAATCAAAATTAGGAAGTTAACATTGATAGACTAGTACCTAATCTACAGATCTGATTCAGAATTCAAAAATCATGCCAGCCAATTTTTGTATTTTTTAGTAGAGATGGGATTTCACCATGTTGGCCAGGCTGGTCTTGAACTCTTGTCCTCAGTTGTACAACTGATATTTCTAGTGTTACTTTTCTACATTGAAATTTATTATTGTGAAATATTGGTTAAACCAATCGTTCTTTAAGCATATATTTGTGCTACTGGGTTGTTGTTTTTTTTCTTTCTTTCTTTCTTTTTTTTTTGGCCAAATTATCTTGTGTTTATCCAGGCAAAACACAATTAGGAAATAAATGTTCTTCCAAAAGATAATCACATAACATAATCTTCCAGAAGTCCTTGGGCGATTACTGAACTTTTAAACTTTTATTAGCTTTGATTGCAGGTGTGGGAAGGAACACTCTGTAAATGGCATTTGAAGGCAAATTCAATTTTCTTCTCATCAGTAATGTGGCCTTAAATTCTCCTAAGGCTACTAGTATTGATCTACTCATCTATAGAGGCCATTTTTTATTT